CGACGAACTACCGCCACCACGAGATAAATATTGAATATTTCTTCATACAAAAATTCAGAAATACACTTTAAAAATAACTCTTTTACGTGTAAAAACTTACAACGAATTATATTTATTCAAAACCGAGAAAAAAAATTTCAAAAATCTGCTTTTTTTCGGCCTCGTTACCTATCTTGCCCTCTTAACGTGATGGAACAACTTGAGCTATGGATTGGGATAGATGGAGCTATGGTTCTGGATAAAAAAAAGTATATTTTTTGTAGGCCTGTGTTATTTTTACGATACTTATTTCTATTATGCATATTTATACGTACTCATTTTGAAAATTTGTATCTAGAAGAAAGCTCATTCTCTCAAAGTGAACTCACTTAACTCACTTTGACATTTTCTGAGCTGCTGAGCCACTTGGCAACTGCATATTTTTCCGGTACCTCCTAAATGTATCCGAGAGGGACTTCCATTTCTTTTTGGTATCAGCTACAGTAATCACATCTGTAAAACAAAAATGTACATTAAGACATAATAATTAGGTTTGGGAAGTAACGTGTTACTTGTTACAACTTTTTCGTTACTTTTTTTGGTAATGATTTGGTAACGGCGTGATCAAGTTTACTACACATACATATATTACTTAAAAAAAATTGTACCTTTCATAACTGCGACCACATCTAGCCACAACTTTTCTTTGCTCCGAACATCCCTTTGTGCAACTGGAAGCTTAAAATTCCAGAGAGGCGGTCGTCTTCGAATCGCCTCAATGAGACGCCCTTCTATAAATATCTTCGGCAAATTTTCATTTTCTGGAAGATTTTCTACATCAAAGTCCTCCTCATTTGGTATTTTTGTCTCCTCGGTGCTTTCCTCTGCATTATTTGGCATCTTCAAAACATTTTTTTCAATGCCATCTACCAGGCTTCTACGTAAAATTTTTCCATCGTCTGCACATACAAAACTTAGCAGTATTAACACATGTATTACATTTTTAACAATAGTATGCATTCCACTGTAAAATACATACCACACTGTGGATAAAAATAATGCTGCTCGTCCATATAAAATTGTGTGAAAGAATCTAAACATGGGTGGCTTCGAATTTCATCGGCATTACAAATCATTTCGCACAACCCACACGTATATACAATTTCCATTGACTATAAAAAGCATAATATAATGAAAATGACTCGATCGGCGTCGAAACGTTTGTTATTTATTATCATGTTTATTTTTATGATTTAAATTAAAGTCCTATCCCGCGAACCGAGATATTAAGCGTTAAAGTTGTCAACTATGGAGGTTAAGAAATCTGTCATACAGACTACATGTAGCGCTATTCTATTCCAAATAAATCATAACCCATGTGGACAGTGGAGTAGCATTACTGTCTACACACTCCACTCGACATGTAATCTAGAGGATGAATTTCCTAACCTGAATAATCGTGAACTTTAACACTTAATATCTCAGTAATATCTTAATATCTTAACAATCAATTAAATAATTAATATCAATAACATATATAATAATATTATATACAAACCTGATCGTTCCAACTGCTGTTATTGTCATAACTCATTTTTTTAAATGATTGAAAACATGATTCAAACAAATTCAAACATTTCTATTTTTCACTGTAGAGCCGCCGTCGTTTTGCCACTGAAGTTCGGCTCGGCCGAACTTTAAGCGGCAAAACGACAGCGGCTCGTAGGGGGTCAGAGTGGGGAGAGCCGCTAGCGTTTTGACGCTGCGTGAAATCGCACCTTAACTCGACTCATCATAGAGCACGAGCATGTTCGCAACCTCCACGCTGGAACGTAGTCTACCATGGCCGCCGTCCGGCAAACTTTCTAGCCGTTGTCCTTGCGTTGAAGTGCGCGTGGCATAATACGAAAATGCATTACTTGTTTTAAGGCAAATCCGCAGCAGTCTGAGGCCATCATGGCTTCCGTGCCAACCAGTCCATAGACTTATAAGATAGAC